TTATATGTAATAGGACTCCATGCTGTCCAATTAAGAAATAATTGGACGAGGAAAATTCCGAGGACTGCCAAAAATTGGACGAGGCCGTGGCCGAGTCCAATTTGGCAGTCAGAGGAATTTTTCGAGTCTAATTATTTCTTAATTGGACAGCATGGAGTCTTATTACCTATTAATTATATAGCCACATATTGATCCCAAATAGGTAAAAGCCAACCACAGCTTTTAACAAAAACCCAATTGAAAACCTGTCCAATTAATTTCTTAATTGGACAGGATTCCAAAATTAACGAAAAATCCAGCTTTTACCTATTTGGGATTAATATGTGGCTATATAATTACGACAGTAATCTTGCAGTAAATTTGTTAAATACTCCCAACGAAAAATGAAGAAATAAGCACGATCTTACGTTTAACGTGGAATGTTTACTGGGGCGAGAATACTTTGGATAAAGCAATGGTGGGGCGAGATTACCTTGATGGGGGCGAGATTATCTGAAAAGATTGGGGGCGAAATTACCGGGGGGCAAAATTACCTGATACCCTGTAGGCTGATTTACAAATGGTTCGTTTTTTGTTTTTTTCCATAATGCGGACCTATGAATGAAATGTTTAACTTAATAAATAAGTTCAGTGCCGRAAGCCCATCCTGTCAACTGCTAGAATGGGCAGTTCATAATTAATATTACTGTCTCAAAAACAGTTTCTAACAAAAAATTTAAAATAGAACAATAGAAAAAGAGAAACACCAGACCTTTTAAACRTCCTAACCCCCGAAGCCCCGAGCCTATATGTGCTGTTGTGTATGCTTTTGTATAAAAACATAGATATCAAAATACTATGAAGAAAATGCTTAATATAACACCAATAATCTTGATATAATTATCATGAAAGTCTTCAGCGGGGTGTGTGCAGATTGAAGTTTCATGAGGAGGGTTCCAGCTTTGTTTTGCGGTTTTAAGACTGTGAAGATCAAGGCAAAAATTAAATGCAAAAGTGCACAGATATTGTTTTGTTTTYTCAAGGATCAAACTGTTAGACTATTCAAAAATAGGTTGAACCTTATTCATTTTAATGTCTTTATATGTCAAAGACTTTGTCTACCATGAAGGGGGTTCCAGATACCCTGGATCCACCCCCTTGTACACACCCTAAGTCTTATTTCCAACACAGTCAATCAAGCAAATGCAACGAATACAAACAATCCAGTATTAGCTGCAGCCAACAATGGACTAAAAGGACTCGGAGCAGAAYCTGTTCCCTCTGGGAGTGAGGAACCAGGTTTTCAACTTGAAGYTTATGAACGTGAACCTCATGCCTTGGGAAGTAAGTTACCATGATTTCAACAAATCAGGTTTTAACTTRATAATACAAGGACTTATCAAAATATGAAGCTAATGAAAATCAAAAAGAAGTTAGCTAGATAATGAGATAACATGATGAGAAATCAAATTTTAATTTACAGAAAAAAAACCTTTAGATGATGAAAAGCCTTCATCAACTCAAAAAGAAGTTGTTCCTATTGGTGTTGGTGCCACGTTGTCTGACAGAGGAAATCTTCAACTTGGTGAGTTCACAATAACTGACAAAAATTGTATTAGTAATTTTTATATGTAATAGGACTCCATGCTGTCCAATTAAGAAATAATTGGACGAGGAAAATTCCGAGGACTGCCAAAAATTGGACGAGGCCGTGGCCGAGTCCAATTTGGCAGTCAGAGGAATTTTTCGAGTCTAATTATTATATATTGCTTATAACAAATTCCAACATAGGCTAAAGCATATTTTTGCAAAAATACAAGATAAAATATGTAAATCAGGACAAATCTCTTGCTCATATAAAGATATGGCCACGGCAATGATTTTCCATTGTGTTTACCTTATGAATTATTAATGAATTTGATAAGAATATATAACCATTACTTACTAACTTATATTGTTCTTGCACAACATTTTTTTTCATGTTGTTTTGTTTCAACCACAACAAAGCAATAAGTAGTACAAGTACATGTAAACTAACTCAAGTAATCAACTATATAGTAACCATTGGTAATAATATCTCCTGACATCAGTATTAGTCTCTTCGAAGTAGAATCTCACATTGATCCTTCCATTTTACCCAATACAAACTATTCAATATGACATGCATTTGTTTAGTTGGATTTCCAGAAAAAGAAACTTTGTTAATTAAGACATTTTCAAGACCATTAGGGCCAGGATTTGTTTCTACATCCCTACAAAGGCAGTAATAGCAGTATCTTACCCTGTGATTCAGACCTTTATACTCATCATTGAATAGATCATGTGAAGTACAAGATGAATTATTTGACAAATTATAATGATAGTTGTTATTTACTGTTTTATGAAGCTTTGTATAGATGTGTTTGATTTTTCTGTCCCTTGTTTTACAAAGGCATCTGTTATCTTCATCAACATGTAGCTTTTTATCACAATATTGCATAAACTGAAGTGATGAATTTTTGATGACTTTGGTATGGTTTGAACAATTTTTTTCCTTAAAGCCCTCCTTTTAGTTCTACTTTTATTGAAGGYACRTGTAAGCTTTTTCTGGGATATCCTGCTTGGTTCTCGATTTCTTGTAACTCGGTGACATTTGAAAACAAAGTTGTGGTTATAATACAAACTAACAAACTTTTGATAACGAGATCTGCAGTCTTTCAGTGGTATTAATGCTGTATTTTTTTCAGTATTTCTCACATATAATTCTATAGCATCTGAAAAACACTCATCAAAACAAAGATTTGAATATGTTTCAAAGTAAGCTTATGTGTTGATCAATTTGTAAATAACAATAAAAATGCACAATATTAAGCTTAAAACAAACAAGGTCAAGGAATAAATATTGAAGTATGCTTTATTCTTGGAAATATTTTGCTGAAATTTGGTACAAAGCTGTTGAGAACAGAAATACAACAAAGTGTAAATAATAAAAGCAAGGGCAATTATCATATTCACGTTTAGATGTCTCAAGTAACGGAGAGTAGCATTTTCTTTTCCAAGTTCAATGGAATTAAACATGATATTTTGTTCTGCAGTTCCATGGTTTTCATTACAATGATTATAAGAATAAGTTGAGTTTGATTCGTTTTTTTGCTGCCGTTCCAGCTCCTTCACGAATACTAGAAGGGTTTTCGACCATATATACTTTGCTGGTCTGGTCGTTTTTCGTAGCCGTTGCTACTCCCTYAYGACTAAAAGGGGTTGTGGTCATATAAACTTTGTTGACCTGGTCGTTTTTCACAGCGGTTGCCGTTTCCTCACGACTAGAAGGGGTGGCAGCCATATTAACTAAGCTGGCTTGGTCGTTTTGACTTGGACTTTTGAAGTGAAATATTCCAAATAAAATACGCAGTCAAAGACTGCATGTGACTCAGGCCAAAAATATAGGCCAATGAAATGTGTTAAAAATGTAGATAAGAATTGTACTGTGATAGAGTAAAAAAAAGGTTATTGATAGTAGTGTGGTAGCTGTAAACTATGAAAAGTTAGGTGGACCACTCTTAATAATAAATATTTATGAAGTGAATAGATAGACATTTATTTTTAAATGCTGTAAAATACTAGTGAAATTTATTTAGAAATAATGATTACCACTAATTGGCAAAATAGTCAAAAAGAGCAATGAAGTCAGTTTTTTTTAAACGAAATTAGAATAACGTGCATTTTAATAACATGCACACATTTATAACACTATCAACTCAACTTTAAACATAGCCAAACTTTACAAGTTTTACAGCATTTTTAATTATGTTATTACATGGAATAATGTTGAGAACTTTTTCACTGTATAAAAAGATTGCTATTGTGTCACAGCTTATGTGGAAATTGATTAT